AGGGCCCACCTACTAGTCAAACTCGACTGTAGGAGAGGCTAGGAGGTGGCGCCGCGGCGCCGACAAATATACCATGATATGCTGGGGAGCGGGCGGAAGCGGAAAAGCCGGCTGGCCCGTGCTCTGGGGGGCATGCGAAGAGGCCACATCATGCCTGCCGTGCGCCTGGGGTGGGTACGCCGACACCTTCGACAGGCACGCCCTATGCCTGCACCTGAATTGCGTTGCCCACCATTCTCCTGATCCTGCTCATCCCCCTGGATCCAGTGGTCAGCGGCATCGTGGTCAGGCCCTTCAGGGCCACCTGTTTCCAGCACCGCCCCCCCTCCTGGCACCTTCGAGCACGTGGGAGTGGACGGCGCAACGACGGTGCCGCGCACAATCTGGAGCCAGCCACTGTCCTGCAGCTGATCTGGCGTGAAATGAAATCTGCCTGCGGGACCCATGGGCGAGCTTGCCCTAGGCTGTATTCACCTGACACATTGAGCATGTGGACGTTGGGCCCTGCCAGCTCCTGTCCAGTGACAACGTAGGCCGCGGCGAAATCGCGCCCCGTGGGAATCCCACGTGCGCGGCCCTGCTACACGCCCTGCTCGAACACGAAGCGAATCGCCAGCTATCGATCGGCGCTGAGGCTAAGTTATCGACGACGGCGATCGATGTCCCAACCGAGCTCCGAAAAAGGGGTCCAGCTCCCAACCGCGTGCCGACAGCGGTCCGAGGGCGCGCGGAAGGCCCGCGGGCAGCGCGGCGTCGAGTGGATATTCGTCATCGAGGTCTGCGAAGGGGTCCGCCTCCTCCTCGTCCATAGTGCCCTCGGCCTGGCGGAGGCTTGGGTTGGCGGGGGTGAAAGGCTCGACCCGTCCCCGAAGGCATCGGAAGCCCGCCCGTCGGCGGCGTCGGAGACGGGGGTCGCGTGGAGCGCGGACTCGGCCGCCCGCGCGGCCGCGGCGTCTCGCCTCGCTCACCCCCACTGCCCTGCCGTCGCGCCACTCCGCCACGTTGACCACGCTGCCCATCCACGGGGCCACATGGCCTGGCAAGTGGAAGGCCATGCTGGCCTCAGCGGCGCCGAGTGGATGTCCGTAGTCGAGGTAGGCGAACGGGCCCGCGCCCTCCTGGCGCACGTTGTCGCTGGCCTGGCGGAGGCTGGGGCTGGCGGAGGGGGGGGCTGAGCCCGTCTCCGAAGGCAGCGGCAACCCGCTCGTCGGCGGCATCGGAGACGGGAAACGCATAGAGTGCGGACACGGCCACCCGCGCGTCCGCGGCACACTCTCGATGCGTAAAGCATCGCATCCCTCCATTGCCCCGCCGTCGCGCCACGCCGCCACGTTGGCCACTTTGCCCGCCCACGGGGCCCCCATGGTCAGGCAGGTGGACGTGCATGCTGGCCTCCACAGGGCTAAAGCCGAAGCAGAGTACCAGCAGGGGCGCCCCCCTTGCCAGCAGCAGGCGCGCTGGTGCCAGCAGGCGGCGCAGCCGCAGGGCCCTTGGCCTCACTTGCGGCCGACCTGGCTCGGCAGCAGGCCTGGGGCGCGGCCTCGGCGACGTCCGAGGCACTGCAGGCAGCCTGGTCCGCTGCCGCTAGCTGGCTGGGGTCAGGGGGGGCCTCGCCGCCCGCGCCAGGTGCAGAGGGGGGCGGCAGGAACAGGCTGCGCAAGCGCCGCTGGGCCACCCGCAGGGGCCGCAACCTCCGCC